GCACCAAACCCATCCTGGGATGGGACCTGCAGGGGCTGGAGGATGCTGAAAGATGTTTCATTTGCCYGTTTTGTCTTCTGATCTGCCAGGAAGAGACTTTTTGTGCTGATAAAAGTCTTGTCCTGCCAGCTGGGGTTGGCATGGTTAAATTTTGCATGGATGTCGATAAAGAAATACGATTTTGACAAAGTTTTAAAATTTTGCAGTAGAATTTCCTCTCCCCCTTTGTGTTTTCTGTGGTGGTTTTTTGGTTTTTTGTTTTTTGGGTTTTTTTGTTTTGGTTTGGTTTGGTTGTTTTTTTTTTTTGGTTTTTTTTTTTTTTTTTTTTTTTTGAGGATGTCGAGTGAAATGAAGCCCTGAGCAGAGGAGGGAGCGGGGTTTGTGCCGGGATGAGCAGCCGGGCAGGGAGCCAGGGGTGCTCTCAGGGCTGCTCAGGACAAAGCGGGGCAGACACATCAATGCTCCCAGCCCAGACACTGGGGCTCTTCAGGTGCTCTGCTGCTCTTCAGGGGGTGAAATGCCAGCTCTCTTTTCATCTTCGGCCTTGTTTACCCTTAAAAACCCCATTATCCCCGCGGCTGAGCATCCCAGGTTTCATTTCACCCTCTCTCCGTCCCTTCCCATGCTCTTGGCTCTRGTGTTGCCACCTCTGGAAAGGGCTGTTCTTCCTCAGGTTGTTTTTCTCAGAGCTCAAAATGTTGGATCAAAACCTTTTGCAGCAGCGAAAGGGATAGAAAATGTACGTTTTTATACATTGGGGTGCGTTTTATGGTGGTTTTTTGCTGGGTTTTGGGGATGGAGATGTTTTAGAGTCTCCTCTTGCAGGCAGATCTGCTGTTAACACATCAGACAGGCTCTGTCCACTCCAGAAAAAGATTTTTTTTCTCTCTCTCTGCTCCAAGAATTGATGAGGCAGAGTGCAGTGAACTCGGAGAAATTGGTGGTGACTGAAATTCCAGATTTTCTCAGCTCTCAGGGATGAACCATGAGAGTCTCGGGTCTGAATCCCTGCCTGATTTACACCAGACCTGATTTTTCCTCAGCACCTCTGTCTTGGCTGTTCCTGCTGCCAGAAGGGTCCTGTGCAGACATGGACAGCGGTGACAAGGTGGGAGGGACAATTCTGGATGGGAAGAAGCCGAAAAATCCCAAATTCTGGAGGAATTCCTGCATGGGAAGGGTTGTTGGGCATTGGGAGGGGCTGCCAGCGGGAAATGTGAGTCCTCATCCCTTTGGGGGTGTTTGAGGCACCCCTGGAGGTGCCTCTCAGGGTTTTGGGGTGGTGGGGACTGGGCACAGTTGGCCTCGATGGGCTGGGAGAATTTTCCCACCCCAGTGACCCYAAAATTGTGGGATTTTCACACCAGCAGCACCCCAACAGCTCCGTGAGGCTCCTCAGGGCTGGACTCATCACATCCTGCAAGATGTGGGCTCAGCCCTCGGGAAGGAGTTGGAAAAATCTCAGATTTACGAAGTTTTCCCAATCCTCCAACAAACATTTGTAAAAATCAGGGGTTTTTTTTGTTTGTTTTTTTTTTGTGGACTAACCTGGATTCATCTGCAGGGATGCATCACAGATAGATCCCCGTTCCCATTTCTTTCCCCCAGCCTTGGCAGCCTGCTGAAGGCAGGTAATTTACAGGGCTGGCTCTYTGCTCCACCATCCCTGCCAAATCTGATTTCACCTCCTTCGCCGCTCAGCCTTTCAGGGAGCGCAAAACGGGGATGTTTTACACCACCACCAAAAAAACCACGG